CCCCAAAACCCCAAAACCCCAAAACCCCAAAACCCCAAAACCCCTAATAATATTTGCAAAGTTGGAACAAGAATGAGATAATTATATTTTAATATTAACATGGAATGCAATTACAATTTTGAAAGCCAACAAACTTACCCAAACCTTGTAAACTACAAAGGGATCCATCACAACGAAGAAGATACCGCTACAAAATACTTTGACAAAGAGACTGGCGCTCATTTCAAGTTCTCAGTGTTATGCTCTAAGCTTAAAAGTATCAAAAATTCTTCTGAAAAAGGCAAACAGCCCGTTCTAAATCTCAGGAAAATGAAATCAAAGCTTACAGTGCTAAAAATCAGACAAAAGCTGAGTAAGTCAGGTTTGCTTAAAAATTTCATTTTCTCCTCGCTCACCTGCATTTACTGCTAAATTAACTTCAAAAACTGATAATTGAATAGAAAATAGACAAATGGAGAAAAACCCTATTGGCCCCAACAAAAAGATGAAATATAATGAACCATTTCCTCTTGAAGTAGCCCACGATAGGAGACTTTCAGATCAAAATTCAGGGTAAGCTCCTCCTCTGCCAATTCTCACACTCATGTGTTTTTAGTTAAAAAGGAAGATTAACTTAATATAAATTAATATTATTTTATAGAAAACCTCATTTAAAGCCAATTATAATCTCAAGCCACCAACACTTGCAGAGCTCCAAGCAAAACAAGAACATTAATGACTTCAAGCCAAACTACAGAGACAAAATTATCAGGATGAGAATGAACAGGAAATTCATAAAACAAAACCTCTCCCAGTGCATGAAGGGATCATCTCCATCCCAAATAGTTAGTGTAAGTTGGACTCATCTTTTCATTTGCAATATTTATATAGACCTTGCAAACCTCGAAAGAGAATAGTCTTTCCGACCACAGACAGCAATTTGTGAGAACTAGAGACACTTCTAATAGTCGACCCTCAAGAGTCGCCCAGGTCAGGACTCCTAGCACCTTTCTAAGCAGAAAGTCTAAAGATAAAATCCTCTCTCTAGCTTGTTTGAAAGAATCGAGAAATTTAGAGTTTGCGAATAAAAGGAGTAACTTACAAAGCAAGCTTCCTAAAATCGTTACTAAAACTCCTAATCTGAGAGACGATATCAGGTCGATTACCTCTTTTTCAAAGAATGCGAATGCCAATGAAGTAAGTACCTGCCCAAAAGCTATCCAGAATCATGGGCTGTACTTCAAAGCTGTAATTTAAGAGTTTATAAACTAAGTTTTCAAATTTACTCAAGTTATGTTCTACTCATCTTTTATGGAAAATAGAAATTACAATATCGTTTGTCTAGTAGATTAGTGATACAGTTTGTCGATCAATTTAATTAAACCCAGACCAGCAGGGAGGGTAAGAATCAACCTCAGCAAGATCGAGTTAAGAATATTTCCAATTTTTATTGCGAAAAGGGGTTTTGGGGTTTTGGGGTTTTGGGGTTTTGGGG